AAAGTTTTAGCTTTAGTGATTCATACTATATGTACAGCTTACAATTGTTTAATAAAGCACATATAACTAGCCTGACAAAGGGTTTAAAAAAAAAAAAAAATCATTAGGCATCTGTTAAAATTTCAATTTTGTCTAAATTTATATATTTGTTGAATTTTTAATTATATATTATATTTATGATTTAAAGAAACTATAGCAAAATATTTACAAGCATTTATCAATTTGAGGTTTTATATCTAAATAAAATAAATTATCGAAAAATATTATAAATAGAGATTATGTATTCTCATCTAACTAGGTAAAATTCAATACTTTATAATTTAACATTTATATTATTTTTAGATCCAAATAAAATCTATTTTCTATCAAATTAATCAGTTTATATCACAAAATAAAGATCAATTAATGTTCAATAATATTATTCAGAAAGTTTACTGAATTTGTAAAGAAGAATTGAATTTGTTTCAGATATAAATCAATACTTTCATCATGATTCACTAATCAAATTAATATAAATGAGCTCTTAATATTTCATGATAACATAAAAGAATCAAATATTTTTTTTTCAATTCAATATCTATTATATTGATCTATTCTATTTCAAATAATTATCAAATTTTTATTATTTTTCATAAATAGTTTCTGAAAGTCTATAGTTTCATATGATTCTTCATAATATTCAACTAATAAATCTAATATTTTAATAAATATCTCTAGATTTGATTTTTTCAGATGCAAAAGTTCACTTGAAAAATGTTCAGATCCATTGATAATTGTTTTATAAATATTATATATGTTATTTAAAATTGATATAACTTGTCAATCAAAAACTAATCTAGTTCAGAAATTGAATCAATGTTTGATAAATTATTTATAAAGAAATACTTCATGATAACTAAAAAACCAATCTAAAAATATATTAAATATTTAAAAAATACAATACAATATAATGGTTATATCAGAATATTATTGCTTCATATAAAACTTTAATTCATAAGTACTACTTCAAAAAAGATTGATGAATCATTTGAAATACAAATTCACAAATTAACTCAATCATTTTTCAGAAAAGAATGGAATAATACGATTTATTCGACAACTTAATCGAAAAATATAATTTGATAAAATATTATACATAAATACATGCAATGCAATAGATATCGATGTGGCATAATTTTAATTACGTGCTAGTTATACCTTTAATCTAATAAGGAAATTCATTAGAATACTGACTAATAATGTGATAAAAAATGGACTTGAAATTAAAAAGAAAAAAAAAAAAAAAAAAAAAAAAAAGAAAAAAAGAGAATTATTTTTTTATAACTTGAAAAACCTCATAATCATCCACCCCAAAATAATTACCCTTATCTCTAATTTTATGTTCATATCTCAACCCACCAGACGCATAGCTGGAACCACCCTCATTAGCATCACCGGTAATTTTTAATTCATAGAATCCGAATGATGGCCCTAATCGATCTTGAAGTTGAATAGCATCATTGACGCAGTCCCCTCTAATTCGACTTAGTTTCGTTTTTCCTAAATCTTTACCATCACCTAATGAAAATATGAAACTATCGCGAGTACCTCGCCATTCTACGTCTCTTGGTGAAGACCACCCTATCGGATTATATCCACCTATTAATTCTTTAGAATCGCCAACTCTGACAACTACTATTGTAGCCCCCTGACCGTCGCAATTGTCATGAAATGTTTTTGCAGAAAATCCATCTCGACTTCCACGAAATAACAACCTTATTTAAATAATAAATTCAAATGTTAATAATGCACAAAAAAATAGCATTCAAAATTAAAATCTTTACCTAAAATAATAAGGTACCGGAAACAAATCAGCATATGACGGTGTATCTTTTATATATTTCCGATCTATCCAACATGCTATCAAGGCAGCCTGCTGATGTGTGACGATTGTTGAATCTATAGTTCTTTCTTTTGTGGGATACATAATTTTCGGTATTTGAGATGTACTTTCTAGTTGTCCCGCACCACTTGTTTGCGTCGATTTCGTTAAGAAGCGCTGCCTCAATCTTAATTGTAAATTTCTTGGTATAATCCTTTCAAAAGGTTTAACTTTTTTATTAAAAACTTCGGGAGGAAGTTGCCAAAATCTTATCAATGGAATGCATCTTTGCAAAGTTTTTTCCAGTTCAATAAATTCTCTTAGACTCCATTTTGAAACATCCAATTTCTTTAAGTTCGCTGTATTCTTTATACCCCACTTGATCAAATAATCCCAGATCTTTTCCTCTTCCATACTTAAATCATCTCGACTCAATAACGAAACCATAGTTGTCTCATCTAGATCCATAAAGTCTTTGGATTCGAAAAGTCGAACGGGGTCGGGACAAACTACTGATAGGCAATGAGACCTTAATTTACTACATGAATTTCGTTCAATTACTGCATTAAGAACATATAAAATATTGTCTTGTATCCATTTAAAATTATTTTGAATAAGATAATCTTGTAACGGGTATATAAGTTCTTCAAGGATTAGTTCGTCGGAAGCTATCAATAGTTCTACTATATCCCCATCATTCAATTTTTCTAAAACTACGTTTCCACTATAGATGTACCTGTTATTACAACGTAAGTAAATAGTTAATTATCACATATGTAAATAAATCATTGAAGTTATAATCCCTCACCTAAGTATTGTCTCAAATACGATCGGACTAATATTGGGCTTCTCAAATACGTATTTATTACCTTCTGTTCTAGCCCATTTGCTTGATAAAGCAGCACGAAAATAATCAGATCTAGCCCTTAATATAACTGAGTGAGCCTGAAACCATTTGTTTAGATTATGCTTCCCCACTTTGATAATGACATCATAATCCTCCGTATATTCGAGCAAACTACCAAGGTTGTCTGAGAGTCGTGAATGAAAAGAGAGTGACATTTTCGAATATTTTATTTATATTCAACTATGAACAAAAGGTAATTATGGGGAATTTCTCATATTATTGAAAAATCGGATGACCGGTTTGTTTGTCAAATTTATGTATGAGAGCATTTACACAAAGTAGTGGCTTAGCAATGGTGTCATTTGCATATATGTACTGTATATACTATATTTGATAAAATCAATTTTTAATCAAATTTGGGTAATAATATCGTCCTTTATTAGTACAAATAGTAATAACATAATTAACTTCTTATTAAGCTAAGAATAATAAAACATATAATTATAATTTTTTAAAAAATTAATTTTAAATGAACATTTTAAAATTAAAAAAATTTTTTTATTAACTCTCTAATCATATACAAAAAATATGTTTATCAAAAGTTTTTTGACCTTTTGATAAATAAATATTATTATATTTAAAACAATTTAAGTATTTTTAAAAGTTAGTATTAATTATTTTTTTTATTTGTAATTTTTTTTAATTAAACTTGATATAAAGATTTATTTTTTATTTCCCTATCTATTTATATTTTTTTATCTCAATTTACAGTAATTTTAAATTTTTGAATAATATAATTTTTATTAAAGATAATTAATTAATTTACTTGTATATTTTAATAATATTAAAATTTTAATAAAAATAAAAAAACTTTTTATACTGATTTTTAATTTTTTAAAAAATTTCTTTTTTTGATAATTTTTTTTAAAAAAAGAAGCCAATTAGAAAAACAAAAAAAAATCAAATTTAAAAGCACTTTACAAAATATAAAAAAAGATAGTATTAACAAAAACATTGATTTTTATTATATAAATTTTTTCTTTTAAAAAAAAAAAACCAAAAAGTAGGAATAAATTATAATAAGCTTTTGAAAATTCAATTACACAAAGCTCTTAATTATACTAGTACAGGTTAATATCTTTTTAGATATCAAAAAAAGATTTATAAATGGTAATTTAAATATATAAATTAGTTTCAATTCAAATATTTACAAAATCTAGAAAATTATTTAAGTTTTATTTTTTTTTTTTTAAACGGGTTCATGCCTAACTTTATTGAATCCCAAATTACAAGTTTATATTGTGCAAAGTGCAAATACATTGATATATATTCGGGGAATATAAAGATAATGATAAGCTAAAGTTATTCTAAAACTACTTCGAGGCTTATTGCCCTTTCTTTTTGCAAAGAAAACCAACATCCCTAGAGTGTACTGATGTTATAAATGAAAATTAAAAGAAATAAAAGAAAAGAAATAATTGACAGTCATGTGGGATGTGATGGTTCTGTTTCTTGGCACATGCCTGTCTTGTTCTAATTCCTCATGAGAAGGTTTGAGAAAAACTTCTACTGAGTCTTTATGGAGATAAAGGGAAGACTATACAGTTTTAACGCTTATGGGAAGGAAGTAGTCAGGAAGGTCCAAATAGTATATTGATGTCGTGATTGACTTGAGAGTCTCCCAGTATATTGTCAATTAAACCTATTTCTATCTAAATATGGGTATACTTACCCATCTGTATATCTTATTTCAAATTTAATTCCTTATATGAAGGATAGCATCTAGCCTTGCGGTCGGCATATCCTGCTGGTAGCCATTGGTACTAACGATCAATAAGGATCTTCCAGACATTCCGACTGGCTTGTACATCACTGCTAACATTTTCAGACTTGAGTTTTGATTGGTGTAGTGATGTTAACCTTCCAGTCTTCCAGCTAAGAATTTTTTAAAGATAGGATGAAAACTTCCTGAATTACTTTGCGTATGAGCTTTACCACTGAGTATCCTAAGTGGTTTCCTGCTTTCTCAGATTTAGATTTTGTGGACAGTAGAGGTTGGAACCTACCTGACATACAATCAGGAATAGGCAGCTTGGATCTTTAAAAGGAAGCGATCTAGCATCTTATGACTTTTACCATGGTTGGACAGACTCTTTCCTATATCCAATAATATGTTAGTGATATGTCCTGTATCCATCTGCATCAGACAAAATGACTTATGATGGACCCAAAGTTCTTATGGAATTGAGGAAATACATTCAGACACGTGAGGTGGCCAATAAGAGCTTGTTTATTAATTTTGTCCAACATATTTCATGTTGATCAATCAGAGTTGGTGAGATTCATGTTACCTGAAATTTCAGGGTCAAGCTGGAGTAGGCAAAATTCTCCAGAAAGCTGTGAAAAAGATAGCTCTGAAAGGCCACAATACCATTTAAAGGGTAGAAGAATAAGTCATTTGACTGGTTTTTAACTTTTATTATCTCCACCATAACTAAGAGAAGAAAGGTACTTCACTATTGGTTCTTTTTCCTTTAGGAACTTTCTTGTCATAGGTAGTAAAGGTAGAAGCTGAACTTTGCAAGCCACAAGAGTTCAATTTGTTCAAAGAAGATTATAGACAAGAGGGGGGGAAGGGAAGAAATTCTGAAGAAACTCTTTGAAATAGTTTAAGAAAAGTAGTAAGACTTTATTAGCATAGAAGTATTAAAACTTCTTATGAACATATTTTTTGTGTGTGGTCAGAGGATCAGCAGAAAAAGTTTTGAAACTATTAAGATTATATATTAATGTAAGTTTTATTGACTAGATAATAAAGAAATACATTGTGATAAAAATAGCATCTACTACCATTGGATAGTTATTTTTAGTCATGATCTTCATTCTATTTCCATTTTTATCTATTTATTTATAATTATTTCTTTGATATTCTTTGATATTCTTATTGGTACTTGATTAGCGTAGATCACTTTATCAAATGTAACACGTGACATAATTTACCGTAGATCAGGCAGCCCAGGAGGTTTAGGAGGCCCAAGTGGCCCAAGTGGCACATTTTTACAAGTATATAAGCAGTCATAATTCACTCAAAGGTAGGATAAGTTTGTAGATAGCTTCACTTGATATTGGAAGGTTAGAATAATTTCAATTTTCTTTTGGGAGATTGGATATTTCTTTTTTGATTTTAGGACTAAAGGAATTGTCCTAGTTTTTTTGATTTATTAATAAACTTGGGTTCTGAGCGAACCATATTTATTGTGAAACACTGTGTGACACTGTTTAAAGGATTCTTGTTGAATCTCTTCTTGAATATTTCTTTATTATAAACTGTTTTTTTAATTCTTTCTTTGGGAATTGTCCTTTTAAAAGCAATTCCACTTGAACATACCGGTCAAATATAAATTTAATCATAACATATATTATAACAACAATATTTCAATAAAAAAATAACAACTCTTTCTATTAATTCTTTATTCATATATAAAAAAGATGTTTGCAAAAAATCTTTTATTTCTTTGTTAATAAAATTTTAACACTATTCCCAAATCAACTTGATGTTTTATTTCAAAAATATTCCTAAATCACCTTTCTTATTTATATTTATTCTCAAACAAAAACTTTGTTTTCTATAATCTAGAAAAATTAAGAAATATCTTATTTATCTGTGACAAGAAAATTTAATAAGGAAGAAGAACTAATAATATAGTATTTAAAGTCTTTCATATTGAAGTATGTTTATAAAGATTTTGTACAGTGAGAAGTGACAAATATTAAGTTTTATTTTTAAAATATCTGTCTATTATATCTTTCCTCTTATAGTCATATAAAATTTTTTAGTTTTCTGAAAAATTTTATCTATCTTAGTTTGATCCTGAATTTTAAATGATATAATCTATTGCAAAATATAATTGCATTAGGAAATTTTTTGTGCAGAGATCTCTAGAGATCTCTACCATAAAAAAATTTTCAAAAATTTTCAAAAAAATCTCCGGAAATCTTCAAAGATCTTTGAAAATTTTTATAAGAAAAAATTTTTATAATAAAAAACTCCAGAGTTTTTTTTATAATGAAAATTTTTAAAAATATATGAAAATTTATAATATATTAAAATAAATATTTACTGTATTTAATAAATATTCATTACTGTTATCAAATCTTAAAATTATATAAACAATATTATCTATTGCCCCTATATCTATTAAATTATATATATTCATTAATTTAAGATATGTGCATCCATACATATATGGAGTTTTTTTTTATTTAAAATCAAATCATTGTACTAATACTAATCATAGTGAAGATCTTCAAATCTCTTTGCTTATATTTAATATTAATAAGATCTAAAATTATATTAGTTAAGTAACATAATATTATATATCTTATTAATAATTATATTTACCTTTTCATAATAGATTCCATTATCTGTTATATAATTACAAAGTTCTTCGGAATTCATTTTAATCAATACATTACTAAACTATAAGCTGTTATAATATTTATTAGATGCCCAGATGATTTGACCATTTTCTATTATTACTGTTTCAAATATTGTTAATATAAAATGTTTTATAGAAATATTAGTGGCATTAAAATATAATTCTAAACTACTTTCAAGATT